TCGTAATTGGGACTCAAACTTATCTAATTGAGAGTTGAGAATTGACGCATTGATTAATTGAGCATGAGTTCATTTACTATCTTTTATATTTTATATGTTATGAACTCTTGGTTTTAGAGTTTGAAAGTTAGTTTTAGGTTGTGGTTGTGAACTTGTGCTTGTGAAGCATTTTTAATCTTTGGACTTTATGTTAAATTGTTAATTGTCAATACTTTACACTATTTATGAGACTATCAGGTCACTTGAAAATGTCCTACAAGTGCACAAAAATTAGAGCTTAGTGTTTGTCTATGCATTCTTATGTTTTTTATGATTTTTTTATTTTTCAAAATTTATTGACCGCATTGTATGTGATGTGGCTGCCTCAAGACCGCACACATATAAATATGAAAACTTCCGAGAGTTAACTAGACCGGTTTGGTCCGAGGCTCCAAACTAGACCAAGACCTAGACTTAGACCTGGACGAACCCCAAGTTAGGTCCAGGTCAAGTGGACCAAACCCGACCTGCAACGACCAATGTCTAGGTCTAAACCCATACCCCCATCGGATCAACCACAGGGCTAAGCATCCCAAACATTCCTCTCTCTCTCTCTCTCAGGCCAACCCCACCCCAACATGAACGTTAAGTATGATGATGAATTGGGCACAATAACTCTCTCTCAGAGGCCAACCCCACCCCATGAACGTTAAGTATGATGATGAATAGGGCACAATAACAAAGTGCAAGCCTTAAAAGTAATATTTCATGGACCACTACCGTACAAAGCAGAAGCAAAAAAAGAGGTTCGTAAGTTCCATCCATCTTTTGTTCAGAAGCCCCAAGGGGACCACCATCGGTGGACTATCCTAACTTATTTCCTCCTTTTCTTGGTGAATGTCTGATTTTGAGATTGTACCATTTCGATTTTTATTTAGAAAAAGAGCAATGATTTCATGCATCCGTTGTATAGTAATATGATGCAATAACCTTAAAAAACTATCTAATGGCTATCTATTTGATCCAATTTTTGAAATATACACTCCTTTTATTATAATAAACAATTACAAAAAAGAAAACTTGTAAACACAATCTAAAAAATATTTTTTTAACCCAATTAACATAGGCCATTCATTTTAATGAGATGCTCAGATCTAGACCTTAGAAAGATTTTTTCATTTCCAATTTTTTTGGATGACGTTATTATCATTAGATGAACGATGTTAAAAAAAATAGATATATTTTGAATTTATAAAGACTGGACCGCATTTCTACATATGCGGTCCAGCATCCATCTGAAAGATGGATGCAAGTAGATGTTCCATCTAAAAACAATAGAAACTAGGGAAATTATCACAAATATACTTTAATTTAAGCTTAATTGGAAAAAAAAACCCCAATCTTCCATTTACCTCGTCTACACATTTTTTCTTCATTTTCGATTTTTTTTTTATCAAAATAACATTCACGATACTCTTACTACCATAATACTTATCATTTTATACCAGGTATTTTAAATGTCGTAGTAACTTCAGGTAATATTACAGTACTTTAAGTAAAGTACTGTAAAACTCTGGCCATGGCCGTGAAGCCAATTACGGTACTTTAAGTATCGTAAAAATTAAAACCCATTATACAGCATTTTAAGTACCGTAACAACTAACCCTAAAACCTATTATACGGCATTTTAAGTATTGTAACAACTAACCCATCTTATAGAACACTTAAAATACCGTAAATCATTTTCTCATTATGTTTATCTATTTCATCTCTAATTCTTTTTATGTTTATCTCTTCTTTCTCTCTATAATTCTTTTTAATATTCATCTTGTATTTCTCTCTCTAGTTCTTTTTTCTCTTCTTTCCCTCTCTACAATCTATTCTTTCTCTAATTCTTTTTATGTTTATCTATTCTTTCTCTCTATAATTCTTTTTAATATTTATCTCTTATTTCTCTCTCTAGTTCTTTTTTATCTCGTCTTTCTCTCTCTACAATCTCATCATCATTTTCTTAGATAGATCATGTCCACTGTCTTGCACAGCCGAAGTCAGTATTTGATTACTCTCTCTATATAAACTATGATGAGATTGTAGAAAGAGAAAGAAGAGATAAAAAAAAATTAGAGAGAGAGAGAAAGAAGAGATAAAAAGAATTAGAGAGAGAAAGAAGAAATAAATATTAAAAAGAAATTAAAAAAAAAAAAAGATAAACATAAAAATAATTAAAGATGAAAGAGATAAACAGAATCAGGTTTACAACATTTTAAGTGCCGTATAAGGTACTTAAAATGCCGTATAAAATGCCCTGAGTATTACGGTACTAAAAATACCGTATAAAATTCCCTAAGTGTTACGGTAATACGACTATTGTGACGGTCATTTTGGTAAAAAAAATAAAAATAAAAAATGAGTAAAAAAGGTGCAAACTAGACAAAAACAAAAGTTTGGGGTTTTTTTCTAATTAAGCTTAAATTAAAATATATTTACGATAATTTCCCTAAAAGCTAACGGTCCAAATATTTTCTTACTAGAATTACTATTTCAAGTTTTAAAATTTTATTTATTTATTCATATTCATGATCACAATGTTAAAGATTACATGTCCTTAAAACTTAAGTCCTCAAATCAATCTCAAAAATAGATTTATTAAGAGGCCTGCATTTTTACATACGCGGACTTAGCCACATAGAAACCAGATCCTTTTATTTATCACAGGCTTAGCATTGTTGAGATATAACTGATATTACTCAAACCAGTCTAAAGCTTTATTAAGCTATATGCATGTTTTGCTAGAAATGGCTGATTCTATATTGTTTTCTAAATTCAAACTCACGAAAAAGCCGGCTCCCTCCACCAGAGCATTCAAATCAACTTGTTGAGCAAGAGAGAGAGAGAGAGACGGAGACAGACAGAGACCATTCAAATCAATTTTTTTATATACACACAGATGAATGGGAGATACAACACTACCACATCAAATTATAGAAGTCCATGGCTCGATGAAATTATCGCTTTCACATCAAAATATACAAAATGTGAACATGAACAAAAGGACCATTTCCTTATGTATAACTGTTTATATAATCTGCCCCTTTCACAATTTGCAACCGAGAGATCAGTTGGTGATAGTTCTGTACCAAAGTGCTTGTGTCTAGAAGATGAGAAGCTCTACAAGTGATGGATGTGAGGAAAGGCATTGAACTCAAGTTGTTAATGACCACAAATGCCATTAAAGAATTTCATCCAATTACAAACATTCGATTCATCGATACTTAAATGGCACGGATATTCATATTGACATGGTGGTGCAGAGATGGCAGATGAGCATGTGTATCTTTAAGTACAATGTTTGAAGACATCGTTTCACTGCACATTGATTTTATAGCTTAACAATCCGTACCTTAAATTAAGGGTCATCATCTCATAGAAGCAATTGAACTCTGCCATGGCCGGTCCCAATCCTGGATGAGGAAGGAGGCTGTGTTAGGTTGGGCATCCAGCCTAAAACTTCTGTCACATCTCTCATGAATCATGAACCAATGTGGTGAAACAGGACACGTGTAGCCGATCCCAGATGGTTGGAATAAAGCTCGATGATGATGACGATGATGGTCCCATATAAGCAATTGTTGTGATTTCGCAAACTGAGGTCATCACTGATATAGACGAGGAGTTCTCCTCAAAAGTCTATAGCATATCCCAAAGAAGCCCAAAAGCCACATACTTGAATTTCCTGAATCCCTTCTAAGCTTAACAATATGAAGCTGTGGTACAAGCTCTGAATCCCTCCTAAGCTAACCAAAAGACAGAAAAAAAGAAGTTGAACCATTTAACCAGTCACAATGATGCTCTACTTGACTTTCCTCCAAACGAATCATCTAAGCAGTCGTTCTAGGTTACCTACTTGTTAGTAAAACCAATTTCTATTTGATGCATTTTTTTTCCATATTGCCTACTATGAATTAGTGCTACATAGGTTTGGCCCATACCAAAAGTTCTACTCCAGACAGAAATGAGCAAACACCATCAAACAATGAGAATGGGCAAGTAGAGGATATGTCAGTAAAATAAAAGACGACCAGCCCCAAGTATGAAACCACACACATAGCAGTGGCCCATCTTATCTCCCATATGACCTAATTTGGTAACTTCATGTTGTTTATATCTTTAAATACACAGCTACCCTTCTCATAATCATATTATAAAACATAGTTTAATCAATGAAAAACCAATATAAGCTACATACATAAAAGCATAGCTGGAACATAAAAGCACAGCAAGAACATTAGGCTTCCTGTAAATCACATCCAATAAGTGGCAAATGAATGACGGAGCTACTTGCATGTGAATGTTATCGAGGGAGTGAGCACATGCCAGTTTACTTTACCCTATGAATGGAAATATGCAGCATGAGAGTGCATACTTGCAAGATTATGCATAAGTGACATAAAAAATGTGCATTAAAAACCACAGCCCATGAATGGAGTGATATAATATCAATGTTGATTCAGTGTGCCCAATGCAGTATGCATTCATGCAAAAAATATGCGCTAATGCTCTGCCTGGTCATGACCACTCGTGTGAAAGAGAATGAAATCATGACAACTCCTGCATACGACTGCAAATGGGTTAGGTCGGGACCTGACCCATACCCTGCTGTTTAGCTTTTAGGTAGACTGGGACACAGATTTAGATAAGTCTGGATAAGCCAGAACTGGACTAAAGCCGCTGGGTCCACTACTTGTACTGACTTGGCAACCCACAGGGTCAATCTGACTCGAAAACCTTTTCTCCTTTAAAAACTTAGTCAGTCCCAGACTTGGACCTGAAGAGGACAAGAGTATGAAGGTATGGTGCATGATAAGTTTTAGAAGTAGGTCCGGTTCACATTACTGCGAAACAATGTTCCTTAACTCATGGCAATTGATTCGTGCTCAATTCCAATAGTGTTTGGCAAATCATACACATCCCCATAATGTACACAGTACACCATGATGATGGATTTCCAGAAAAGGCATTCACCCAAGAAATGCAAGGTAATCACCATTACATTTTGTCAATTGAGTTATTATAAACACATTATTACAGGAATCCAATTGCCAAGACAACACACAGCTACTTCACATAATCTGGACAATGTACCCTTGTGGTTTTTCGTTGTTTTATTTTAACCTTGACATTAATCCCATGATCAATCAATGACTGCAAGACAATCTGAAGTTTTCCTTCAATCTTCTCCCCTTTCCTTGGTGTGTAGACTACATTGTGTATATCGTCTGCTATGGCACGCTGTGCTAGAACAACCCCCACTGCTTCACAAGCAATTGAATCCTTTGTTGAAACTAAGTCATGCTTCATGTCCTTAGAAATAGAATGAGCCACTGCAACAACCTTGCTGGTTACTCTGTGAATTATGCAAGCACGAACTGAGCTTTTTGAAATGTATACATCAAGGCAAAAGGGTTGCATATAAGGGTCAGTGAGTTGGTTATATGTTGGAGAACGCAGCTTTTTATCACCCACCAAACAAGTAGTAGCGTCATTTGCACTAAAAGAACCATTACCAGCTTTTTGCAGTGAAGCCCGATTCTTATTCATGGTGAGCTCTCCAACTTCAAGAGAGCTAAGAGTCTTTAGTGGCTTGGATTTGGCTTCAGGTTGTTTGTTTATGGCCCTTGTCTCTTCGGGCTTTTTTGTTTTTCTCCTTCGATGGAAGTCAAAATTGTATTCCTCGAACTCTCGAGAATCCCTGTCCAGCCTATAATAGAGATTACCATGGAGTCTCATGTCCTCTATCTCATCAAAATCAAACTCTTTGTCCACTACTAAAGAAGAATTTGATCCATCTTCATGGGTGTTCCCTTTGTTTGCTTCTTCATGTGTTTCTATCGAGTCTTGGGCATCATCTGATGAAACCCACCAAGGGTCAAGATCAACTAGCTCAATATTAAGACCTGTGGAGTGACTGTGTGTTGGAAAAAGGGTAGAAAGGCAAGTCTTGCTTGATGGGGTTGAAGAAGGGGTAAAATGGATGGTGCTGAACTTTTGCGTCCTGGAGAAACCTGGTGAACTTAATTCATTCCATGTGTCATGAAGGGCGAAAGCCTCTGAATTAAAATAAGAACCCAATACATTCATGATTAGTGGTGTGGCAAGATCTCTTCTTAGTATTGACCTTGTTAGCGCCATCTTGTTCTAATGGAGAAAAGCACAGCGGATCAGTCAATTCATCATCACTTCGAGGAATTTGAGAGAAGTAAAGAGAACCAACCCACCAACCCACACAAAAATAAGTTCACACACACACACAGAGACCCGATTGTTTTCCCATTATTTCCTACAAGTAAATAAATTAATCCCCGTACAAAGCACCTATTAACCATTCGTGAGGCAACCAAGTAAATGAGAGTTTCTAGCCAATTACAGAGGTATGGATCAGAAAAGAATTGGCATAAGTTCGTCCAGGTAATTTATTCGATACAGAAAGCCATGTTGTCAAGACCGGACCAGTGACGGAACCAGTGAGGACCGGCCGGTTCACTAGTCAAACCAATCTAATAAATTAAAAAATTAATAAAAATGAAAACATAGAAAAAAGGAAAAATGGAGAAAATTATGTATTTCAAATAAAAATACAAAAAATATAGAAAAATGTTTTTTTTTGTAACTTTCACTTTCACATGAAAAAACACGAAACCAAAGCAAATAAACAAATATAACAAGACAAAGAATCAAACTCAAGCTCTCAACATTTTTTCACAAGAAAAAGATTCATCTGAATTACACTCAAGTTTTCAACATTTTTTCATAAGAAAAAGACAAATTCGTGTGAAGAAGCTTAACTTATATACAGTAAATGAGTAAACTAGAGTTTGCGACTCATATTATCTTTCAATAGATATTAAATTTCTTGGAGTAAACAGCAATGAATTTTTAGAGAGAGAGAGAGACTGAAAAGAAAGCATGTAAAAAGCCACAAAAAGAGCATTTTGTAACATGAATAATAACATGAAAAAACCCCCCATGTAATAGATACTCTATTGAGATTGAATGATCATAATCAAGAGATTTAAGGCTCATTACAAGATTTCTTGCTAACCCACAAAAAGATCCAACTGTTTTCTATACTCAATAAAATATGCCAAAAATAAAAAAGCAACAAATTTCCATGGGAAAATTATGGAAAAAAAAAATTTGCATAGAAAATTAAAAAAATCAGTATAAAATCAAATACAGAAGGTAGACCGTCCTTTTCACATGCCCTTAGACTTTCTCAGTAATTATCTTATATAGAAAAGACCAGAAAAAGAAAAAAAAAAATTGATTGTGAAAAGAAAAAAAAATATGCATTAACATTTTTACTCTTTTACAATGTTTTTTTTTTTCACGATGTTCACTGTTACTCTTTTACAATGTTTCAAACATTTGGTGTAAACAAATTATTTCAATAATTTAGATAGATTTCTAGAAATTTAAAAACTAGCATTGCATAACTACTTTTATGCCCTTCAAATAAGCATTAATAAAATAACGAAATGAAAACATGGCATTAATATCCAACAAAGCAACATAATTATGCCACTGTCAAACTGCTTATTGTGAGATTATAATAAAAAAGCATATCAGCAGAAAAGAAACGGAAAATAATCCATATTCTAATATTCAAGCATTCAAAACATAGCTTTAAAATTCATGGGAAATTAACTCAGGAAGCATTTGAGTAGAATCTTTCTAGTTTTAGGATAAAATTGAAAAAGAAAAATTCAACAAATTAATTGTGTAATTTCATGATGATGAACAAGCCCCACTGCAAAATCACAAAATGCTTTCTATACAACAAAAAAACCAGCAAGAAAAAAAAAAAAAACAGAAAGAATACAACAAAAAAAAAACCTATGCTCTCGTTATTCTGCAGATCAAATTGTGCTTCTAGACTCAATAAAATAAGCCAAAAATAAAAAAACAAAAAATTTCCGTGGGGAAATAATTGAAAAAATGATAATGTTTGCATTGGTAATTAAAAAAATCAGCACCGTCTAGAGGGAAAAATCCAGGAAAATCACGAGAATAAAACTCATACCCTTGTTTAGAGGGTTCGTATGAGGGAAACCCTACCGTGTTTGGTGAAGAATCTTTACTTTATGATGGAGAAAAACTAGCAAAAAAATAAAATAAAAGAACACCAGCCAAAAAAAAAACCTTACGTTGTTGAAGAAGGTGGAAGCCTGCAAATGAATCCTTGCTTGAAGAAGATGAGGTATTTTATATGATGCTTGCAAATGAATCCTAGCTTGTGGGTCGGACGCAGAGGGTTGAGAGACAATGGCTTTGTGAAAGAGGACGCAGGGGGTTAAGAGACGGGGGTAAGGGTTTTTCGAGAGAGGTCTTCCCGTTTGTATGTTTTCTGTATTGTTTTCTGCTTTTTTTTGTTTTTTTCGGTTCAGGCCCCCCTTGCGGTAAAATTAAATGGAACTTACACCCCGCCTTGTGTGGAGGTGGGATTTATTTTACGGGTGACTTTTGTATAAGGTGTCAATCTTATACTATTATTGAAGTAAGGTGCACTTAGAACTATCTTGAAAGTACAGTTTGGGTTGCCGCAAAGCCTTGCAATATGAAAAACTATTGTTGCCCCCAATTATGAAAGTTTAAAAAATTGTGACGATCAAGTAAATCTATAAACATTTGATATTTTCAAGATAACGTGTTAGAAGTAATGAACTATTTTTGGATTAGAAATCTGTGGTTTTCATGTCTATGAACCTTAAGGTGGAGATGATTGATTGGAGGTTTTTCAGCATAAAAACGACCTTTTCTAATTGGTTTTTTAGGTGCACCTTACTCGTACAGTATAAGGTTGACCCTTTTTCTTTTTTTCTATGGCATAAGATTTTCTTGGTTGCACGTACAAACCAATTGTGTGTAACGGTATGTTTCATTTATCTATGCATGAACATGAGATGCATGCGAATTTGGTAACTATTTCTGGCGATCATTTGGCTTGGGATATTAGGATTAGCACGTAGAGGGTTGATGCTTCTATCGATGAACAGTTTCATGCATTTGTTGGAATCATTGTATGCTTTTTGTTACTATCCCAGGAAAACATATAGGATAATCTAGTCTCTGGAACCTAATGGTCAATTCTCTACTTCTTCCTTGTACCATGAGATCCTTAGAGACTGCTATATTGATGACATGCCTTCCCTTGCTAAGCTCTGGAAATGCACAGTCCCCCATCGGGTCAAGACCTTTCTATGGCTTCTTGGCTATAAAATGCTTCTAACTATTGATCGGCTGCGAAGAATGGGGTTCATCCTCACTAATGTTTGTTTGCTTTGTAAAAGCGATGAGGAGTCTATTGACCACCTCTTCGTCCACTGCCCTTTTGCCACAGCCTAATGGGATTTGTTGCTAAGCTCGGCAAATTGGATTGGTCCCAGATATACCGAGATACATGCATGGTTACAACAACTGTGGATCCGTCCCTTCTCCTCCTTGGGAATTCAGCTATGGAGGATCTCAATTGTTGATGTTACTTGGAACTTTTGGAGAGAGCGGAACCTGAGAACCTTCGAAGAATGCAACAGAAAGCTGCCCTCTTTTATTGAAGCAATAAAGTGATCGATCACACTCTAAGTATATATTTTTCTTCCCCTTAAAGATGTACCCAGGGACTTGATATTCTTTAACTTCTCACAGCTGCTGCTCTTCAAACCCATTCGCTCCAACAAACGTTTTGTTTGGGTAGCACCTTCAAAGGGTTGGGTTAAACTGAATTTTGATGGCAATGTAAAGGGTCCTATTGCAGACTATGGGGATCTCCTTCTAATTCATTTGTGTTCAGTTATATGGGCCTACTAAAAAACACTGCATCAATGTGAGGCCAATGGAGCTGAGCTCTAGGCGGTTCGAAAGGGTGTGGCCCCCTTGGATCCCTCTATTCATAGGGTTATCGTTAAGGGTGATTCAACCAATGTCATAACTTGGGGTTCTTGCCCGGCTTCCACTCCTTGGAGGTTGAGTGGTCTCATGGACAAAATCCGACTATTGCTTTATGGGATCGAGGTCTCCTTCGACCATGTTGTCCGTGGATTTAATTCTGCGGCGGATTCTTGACTAATGAGGCCACCTCTTGACTAATTCCGAGGGTTCTCCTCTTTCTTTCTCTTATTCTTCCCCTCTTCCTTTTCCCCCTCCTCTTTTCTCTTCTCCTCTTCCCCACTTCTTTTTCTCCTTTGTTTTCTTTTTCCTTGTAACTTTCATTATCATAATGAAGCTCGGCTTTTCTAAAAAAAAAACCTGCATGTTTTATTTGAAAATTATTTCATGATGCAAGTTTTCATACGAACTAAACAAACCCTTAATTTTGAATTTTGATTTGTGGTTATCCCGTGAGTTATGCTCCTGTTAGAACATATGCTACATGCACTCTCTTCTTTTCAACCTGGCTAGTTACTTGGTATCGGGCCCTTGCCGAGCCTGAGTTATCATGAGTTGGAGGTCTTAATTTTTTTTTTAAAAAATATAATTTTTTTTAAAACTAATAATAAATATATTTGTAACATGATTATTTGTGTTTTTTATGGTTTTGGCAAAGATTAGAAGTATAAAGTATTTTGATCATTAAGACTTATTTTTATATTTTTCTATATTTTTTTAGAAAATTTCAAAAATACCTCCCATCACAGCCTCATTTTTTAAAAATATATTTTTCAACTATTTTTTTAACCACAATTGGTTATGTTTTGTTAAATTTTACATTTGCATATATTTTTCCATTTTTTGAATTTTTTATTTTTTAGTAATTTTCGGCTCTATAATTACTTGTACTTAGTGAGTACTCGGCTGGGGCATTGGCCAAGTAGTCAGCTCGAGCGGAGTTTTTTAACACTGTCCATACATTGCTCTCTTACTTGCAGGTTTGAGCTGTTTAGATCAATCGGGGAACATTTTGCCAAAAAATCAGAGGCTAGGGGAATGCAATTACTCTTTGAATTTCAAATTTACAAGAGAGGTCCTTTGTGTATCACATAATATGTGAAGAGTTGCCATTGAGTCTATTCTTATATTTGAACCTAGTGATTTAAAAAACAGATCGATGATTAGGATCGGGTATCGCAAAAACACAACCAAATCAGTGAATCGGTGGTTCAGATCGTCATTTTATCATGTGGAAAAAATAATGAACCAGCCAAAAACCGGTTCGGATCAGTGCATAAGTGTTTTACTATAGCAAATTGCCGGTTTGGATCAGTGCATAAGTGTTTTACTATAGCAAATTGGCGGTTCTCTTCTAAACCCGGATGATTTTATATATATTGACAAAATTGACACAGGGTGACCCTTTCCCTGATCCAACTGAGTGATTATGTGTCGACCCGGCATTTTTTAAATCACTACCTTAACCTATTCTATTTCAAAATGAGATTTTAAATCGTTGTGGCCAACAACACTGGTCGTTATTGCTCAAATCTCAAATGGTTTCTGTCCAAGGTATGGTGGTCATTTTTCCAAATTTTATAAATGTAACCTCTCGAACATGCAACTAACCCCAGGAAAAAATTCAAACGGATTATAAATGTGTCCCACCGAAACAATAGTATTGAAAGACATGAACAAAGACCATCCGATTTTAGATCTAAGTATTTAAAAACTCAAAACACATATATTTTTTAGTGGTGCAGTTTATGTAAAGCATCAACCTTAAACCATCAAAAGAAGGTGCACCTCTAAACCTTACCAGAAGATGCAGCTTAAATGTCAAAAGCACTTGCGGTGGTCTGAAAATTTGTTTCCGCTGCTAATTATAAACTTCAAAGTTTTAAAAATGGCATGAATCTCACAGATTTGTAGATATTTGAAAATGAAGGGTTCATATAAGGTATTACAAGATGCATTACTTTAAGACTTGAAATGTATTTGTTTTGTATTCCATACATCGCGAGGTCAAGATGACTAACTAAAGGGTTATTTCTCATGGGTCTTTGAGATGCACCTCATTCTATGAAAATAAAATTTATAGCCAACTTTATATTAACTTCTTCGTTTGCAATGGGAAAAAAGTTTGTATAAGGTGTTACTTTATACTATAGAAGCAAGTTGCACATCAAAAATCTATCAAGAAATGTTGTTTAGACATTGATAAATCATTCGATTGATCATCTTGACCTTGGCGTATATATATATATATATATATAAAGAATAAGTTAAAGTGCTAAAAATAGTGCATCTTGCGGCATATTATCTAGATCATCTATATTCCAGATTTTCAAATATTTATAAATATACCCAATCTACACCTCTTATAGAGCTTCAAATTTCATAGTTAGAAGATGAAAACAAATTTCAGACCACAAAAACTTCTCAACACAAAATTGGTATCTTTCAACAATATTTAAAGGTTCTACGTTATTTAATTGTTTAAGATGGGCACCTTGTATCAACCTCAACCCTTTAGAGAAAGGTGAAGTTTGTAAAGGTGTCCTTCTTATATTGTAAAAATAAGGCGCTCCTATATGGAAATGTAACTTCTTATCATAAAATCTTATGGTGGCTTGAAAATCTATTTTTAGCTTTTGCTATTAAATTTAAAATTTAAAAATACATCAAATCTAACAAATCTATAAATACTTAAAAATGTTCAAAATAAACGGCCCATATATCTTATAAGATGTGCTATTTTTAGGAGTTAAAAAATTCTTTTTCCCTTCAAATCTCATATATTTGAAAGTTGAGATGATTAATCAGAGGCGTTCAACAACATCGGCACCCGATCTTTTAAGAGGATTTTTTGGGTGTAGCTTTATCATCCATTGTAGGTGCATCCCACATCTTTAAAATATTATCCGATGCACCCCTTTGTCCAGAGGGAGTTACTGTATATATGATCACGCGGGAGTTAGTGTATTATGATCCCGCGGGAGCATGATATACGCCCCTGTATATAAAATCGGAGCCTCTCACTGTCGAGCGTTTATTTTCCTTTCTACCCCAGCTGAACTCTTCTCCGCACAAATTCATCTCTATTTGTCTGAAACCAAGAGCTCAGCTCAGGAAAACACAGGTACGTTCTGAAATACCTTCGGTTTATATTTGTCAATGGATTATGGATTTGTGGAACGTCTGTTGTTTTTCTTGGCTTTGCCTGCTGGTTCTGATTGCTTCTCGTTGAGTTTCGATTTTGGTTTTGTATGGTTTTTGGGAGTGCATTTCCCTCTCTCGTGACTGGTTTCGGGGAGTGGCTGCTTGTTTCCATTGATCCGTAATAGGTTTCGGTATTGGTTTTGATTCCATGAGTCTGAAGCATGTTTTTGCGACTGGTTTTTGTGAATGCCAATGGGTTTATTGCTAACGGATTTTGATTTTGGTTTTGTTAATGGATTGAGTTTTTTGCTAATAATTTTTGTGAGTGAGCTCATTTCCATCTTTTACTGATGGTTTTTTTTGCTAGAAGATTTCGATTTTGGTTTTGTATTGGGAAGGGGGTTGGCTTTCCTTTTTTTTTTTTTTTTTTTACTTCTTTTTTTTTTTTTTGAATAGTA